AAATATATAAAAAAATATTGATAATATAATATAATGTAATATAATAAATATATAACTAAATTATATATCTTATCAATTTTAATTAGAAAAATTAAATTTAAAAGATATATTTATGAAAAAATAATTTACAATTCAAAATTCAAAATTAGTGTGATTGAAAATTAATATTATATTAAAAATATTTTTTTAAAAATAAAAATTATAAAATAAATATTTAAAAATTATTTTGTCATAAAAATAGTTATGATTAAAATTATCATATAGTTTAATTTTAGTTTTTAATAATATATATGTGTATATAATTATTTGTGTAAATGAATATTATATATATATATTTAATTTTGCATAATAAGTTTGTATGTTCATTGTAGCTCAATTGTTAAAGCCCTGCACGTGTATAGATGAGATCCTTGGTTCGAGCTGTGGAGAAGTCACTTTAAAGAGGAATTATGTGGTAGCGACACGTGTCAATACAAGGTGACATGTGAGGTGGCAAGCAAGAAACTGACATGTGTCGTCACCACATAATTCCTCCTTAAAGTGACTTCATCACAGCTCGAACCAAGACTTCATTTGTGCACGCCCGAGGCTTTACCAATTAAACTGCAATGAACCTATTTACTTAGTACACAAAATTATATATATATGTATAATATTCTTTTACACAAACAATTATATAGACACATGTATTATTAAAAAATAAAAATAAATTAAATGATAATTTTGTTTTACTATTTATTTTATAATATTTTATTTTTAAAATTTTTTGATATAATATTAATTTCCAATGACACTAATTTTAAATTTTAAATCATAAATTATTTTTTTATAAATATATTTTTTAAATTTAAATTTTTAAATTAACATTGATAAGATATATAATTTAATTATATATGTATTATCTATATGTGTTTTATATATTTGATGAAAACCATTTATAATTAGTAAAAAAAATCTTGTTATTCAAAAAATAGCTACTATAATAAAATCTTATAAATTATTCTATAAAAAAAATTGAATGATTTGAATAGAATATGACAAGCAACATTCTCTTACTTATATATGTATCCTATATAATTTATTTTTTAACAATCTTTTCTACATGCAATTTGTATTTGCGTTGAAGACCAACATGCCAAATCGCGACTAACAAGAGTGTTTCTACTGAATTATGAGAAAGTGACAAGATTTTTGTTCTATTGGCATAAAAAAAGGATAAAACCAAATTGGCTTCTGATAAGGGTCCAAATGGTTGAATTTGGTAATGATATCTTCCTTTCTACAATCCTCAATCGAAATTGAGCCTAACGGGAGTGTTTCTACTAAATTCTAAGATAGTTATGTTATTAATATCATATTTGTTTAATTATTATTAATAATCAAGAGGAATTAATTTTAATGAAATATAAACAAGTTTTCTAAGAAATTGTGCTTTTATTCTAAGTATGTATCTAATGATGAGATAAATGATGATAATATCTTTATTAACACCAACTCCACAAATATATCAATTTATTCTACAATAAAAAATATATTTAAGTCATTATAATATTAATTATGCTATTATATACTCCCTCTGGTCCTAAATATAAGACCCATTTTGTAGTGTAAATTATACTAAAAAAGGGGTCTTATTAGGACCGGAGGAGTAAATTGTTATAAGGTTATAATCTAAAATAATGAAATTTAAAATTAGTGATGGAATTATGATGGAATAGACTTAGCGATGGAATTAGTGACAAAAATTTCATTGACAAACAATTCAGCGATGAAATTTTTTCTGTCGCTAAAATTTTATAATTAAAATTGGTGATGAAATTAGTGACAGAAATTTCTGACAGAAAAAACTTCATGGCTAATTCCATCGCTAAATATTTTCTGATAGATTTTTTAATGGATTAGTGATAAAATTTAGTGACATAATTTTATTCAATTGCTAATTTGTCATTAAATTTAGCAATGAAATTTTTGTTAGCAATCCATCAGAAATTAACGTTTATTACTAATCTTGTCGGTAATAAGTGTTTTGTGTAATGTATAAGCCGCAGACTCTCCGACTGCTTGCCACTGGTGTTGGAAAAACAGCGCATTCAGGCCATCCAGTCCTGGTGATTTCATGGCCCCCATGCTGAAAATGGCAGTCTTGATTTGGGGCAAAGGGCAATGATATTCAGTTTATATAATTTTTTAAAATCTTTTTTAGACTTGATTAGAGCTTATTTGGATCAATATTTGCAAAAATGACTTTATATCATATTATACTGTGAGTGTATATAATTAAAGCTAATCTCACAAATGCATGTGACTATATCGTGAACGATATCTCAACTATGAGTTAATTACCGACAATAATCACACACACACACACCCACAAATATTATTTGCTCTGAAGTCCTCAAATTTTCCATCCATAGATTATTATTTCCTCGGCAGTCCCACATGGATATGAAAGCTTATTTATTAATAGACTAATAAAGAAATTTGTGCATCCTTTCTGTTTTGTCTCGAGAGACCTCTTCAGTACTCTCCTCTGTTTCGTTTAAAAATAATCATATTTTAGTTTATACTATGACCATTGTTAAGAATATTCCTGAAAAAATTTAAAATTAAAAGTGAAGAAACAAAAGGTTACATTGATTAATTTATCTCTAATTTATTGAGTCTTTTTGGTTATCTTTATGCTGACTTCTTTTTGTCTTGAACTTATTTTTTTTATATGCGAAGATATATTTCATCTTTGTCCTTCATCTTATTTATCTGTATCTTTTTCATCTGAGGTCTGGATCCATGACACTTTGGCCATCAAAAGTCCTTTTCAGATGTACTTTTTGACAAATTATCGTTTGGATAGTTTTTAAAAGTTCATTTGAAAAGGCAAAAACCAATAAAAAAAGTCCATTTGAAAAAAAAAAACAAGTTTGAATTGCTTTTACAAAAGGGACCCTGCTGATGAACTCTTATGAGAAGGATTTTAGATACCCAAATTAGGTTTGGAAAAAAAAAAAAAGCCGGCAGAAAGCGTGGAATTTTGTGCTTATGACAGATAAATTGGAAAATAAAAAATTAAAAAAGAATGATCTGAAAGTTTGAACAGGTCAAAGCAGTAATATTTGATTTTTTTTTTTTTTGCCTGAAGTAAAGAAAAGAAAAAACATCAACAAACTATTGGTTGAGATAGTAAGTGGTCTCACCATGGTAAAGAAGAAAACACAAATTCAAATTCTGAAAAGTATAATTGTTGGGAGGGCTTCTTAGACCACAAATGACTTAAAGATACTCTAACTTATTATATTAAAAAAAAGAAAAAAAAATAGGAAGAGAACATAGCTCACTCTTTTTTTAACTAAACATCAAGTTGTAAGTTTTTATGTATGTATATATTAATTATAAGCTTAAATGAAATCTATGCACGAAGTGGTAAGCTTTTAATAAAATTGGATGCCGTGTAGTGGATAAGGTCTCGTGAATGTCGCCGATAGAAAGAGAGTCACGGGTACATTCCTATTCTTTCAAATGATTAATAGGCTCTCCGATACTATTTATAACATTATGCTTATTATTTTTAATATAAGGCCCTTCATGAAATTCAATAAAACATTTGTAACAAATCTATAAATATGCTCTTGTCCCTTTATAATGGCTTTTTCGTCCTTTCTCATTAATTAATGAGCTATATCAATCAAAAGGTAATTTAAATTTTTCAACATTTAACTAACTTTAGCTAATTAATTTTTCTTAATGTCAGGAAAGTCGTTAATATGACCTTACATAAAAGACGAGAGGGAGTTATAAATTATCTTAGAAAGAAAAATTTTGTTTTTTGAATTATCAATGATAAGGAGGGCACTTTAATTCCCATTCCATCCATCTTGAGGGAAATGCTTCTAATTGCAAGTTGCCATAATTAACTTAATTTGGGACCATTTTCAGGTGACAAAGAATGAATTCTGTAATGGAGACCACGATTAGCTTTCTACATATGGCTAAAGAGATCGATTAGAGGCATAGTTATGAGAGATTAAGACTGAGATATTATCATGTCTTCAGAGAAATGATGAACTCTTGATTTCCATATAGCATGGAGTACTCCTCTTAATTAGTTTAAACCATTCAAATTGATTTTAAATGATCCAGATTCAATTTAAATTTTTTGTATTTTAAACAATTTTATATTTTAATGGATAGAGAATTGAAAATAAAAATAATTTTAAAACTGACACTTTTAAAAAATGAATTTATTATTAAAAAGTTATAAATTAAAAATTTTAATTTAAAATTCTAGATGGTCCAAATTTCATCATAATCATAAATATCGTGTTCTCGTCGCTCTGATATCCTGTATACCCATTATAAAAATACCGAGATGAGAGATATGTCAGAGGCCGCATTAATTAAAATAACTTAAGGTTCAAAATAAGCTTCTTTTTTTTCCTTCAAAAATGGAAAGATTCGTGTATTGAAGAAGAGAACCTTACCAGTCGTAGCATGGTTTCAACGATCAAAGGATTGGACATTCTCACCAAAAAGAAAGAGGTTTGTTTCTTGAGACTGTCACGGCGGCGCTTGGGGAGATATATTTGAAGCCACATTAAATTGATTGGCCAGGAGTGGCACAGCACCTGGTGGTGGGCATCAAGGGCTAGTTTCCCTGCCCTTGGATTGTGGGTGAGTTCAACCCCCTTTCTAAAATTTTATTGCCATTAAAACAAAAAAAGAAGATAACGTTTAATTTTTATTCAGCCATATATTGTTTCCAGCAAGGCTGCGACATTATTCTGTGCTAATACACAAAACGGATCACAGATTGTTAATCTATGAGCTTAATTACACCACAAAATGTAAGCCTCTCTTTAACTTCATCTAATTAAAACGCGTCATAGATCATCAAAGCATGAACAAATTAACCTATGTTATGAAACGAACCTGGAAGCATCTAGAGCATAACTGGATTCTTCAAAGGCCACATTATGCAAACGCCTCTTGATCGATCTCTTCAATATTCAAACTCTTGATTGAATCTTCCGGTTCGTCATCTTATGCAAACGCCTCTTTCTCTCTTCGTACAGAATCTTTGCCACCCTACATGTGTAATTCCCACATCATAAACCTATGATATATTCAATTATCCAACATGGATATTTACTTGTACTTGTGGGGTGTGTGTGTGTGTGTAGATACCTTTTGAGATTCACTTCATTTGTAACCTTGTTGGGAACTTCCTCAAGCCTGAAAGTGTTGACGTTCCATCTCTTAGTCACATTCCTTAACAGATTCTCTGCGAAGTTTTCAAGATTCAGCAAATTCTCTAGTTTAGAGTTGTCCATTTGAGCCATCTCTTGTGTTAATGAATGATCCTGCAAAATGATGGAATCATTAATATAAATATATACTTGTAATAACTAATTAATCATCACCACCGTTACAAACTAATTTTTAAGATTAATTGATAATCTCATTTAATTAATAATACCTGAATTCGAAGGTAATTGTCCTCCTCGTTGAGGCCTTGGAAAAGAGAAGCGAGGTGATACTCAGACATGTCCATGTTTCCATCAAACATAAAATCTATTAAGGGACTGGCAGAAGTCTTCAGATTGAAAATATATTTCATAGCTCCCCATGATTCTGCAAATTCGGCACTGTACTCATTCTTCACGGCAGCTTCTCCACAGCCCAATGAAAGCAACAGGAATTTTGTGTAATCATTTGGGTTCTTCATCATGGGGAACATCTCTGGATTTTTCCTCTTCTTTATCGTCACTTCACTTAAAGCAACCACACCCTACGAGCATATATATAATAAGCGTCCAAGAAGATCAATTATATATGTAAATATACACTCCGATAAAGCTTTTGGGTACATGTGAATCTATTTATAACACTTCTCTTGCCATAATTATAAGTTATTACCAACTCGTTTCACTAAGACCATTGAAAATTTGAAATCTCATTAATTTTATTTTAAAATTAAATAATTTTTTTATTTTATCCTGATTTAATTTACATTATATCTCATAAGAATAAAGTCTACACAATAACAAATAACCGGTAAAATCATACATTTATATGAAAATTTTAATGATGTAACTTACATATAAGACTATAAAAAATCTTCTCTTTCTACCTTAGAAAAAAACAATGGAGTATACACATAATAAATGTTTGAAATTTTAACCGATTCTTTTTTTTTTTTCATTTTTGCTCCCAATAATTACTTGTTATATATGTTCACATTAATTACATACATCTTTTCACTAGTATTTTACTTTGCTCATTCTCTTTGTCACTCACTCCACCCCCCCCCAAAATAAGTAAGGAAATTTTTGGAAAATAAAATATACTTTTTACATATTAATTGTCTTTAGTTAATTTTAACAAATCTTTTGACCTACGTAATTTGGCCATTTGTGTGTGTGCATGTGCATATATATACACATATTCTTACCCCTATGTTATGAACACAGGTTGCAAAAGAAGAGCCAAAGCTAAAATATTAGCCTATTAGGATGAAAAACTCCTTAAACTCATAAATCATACTAAACTTGCAAAAGATCCCAATATGAGACTCAAAGCACTCTGTTAACTATTACAAGTCATCTTATAGAAGGTTTTTCTATCTCGTTTCATGATTCATACTGCAGAATATTGTGAATAATAAATACTCATAGTATTTGTCACAAAAATAACTTTAACAGATAAAAAATAAATTATTCGAGCCTCTACTTTGCTCTATTATTAATTTGTTTTGTTCCCCCCATGCATGGGAAATAATTGCTTTTGTTGACCAAGAGAATGCATCGATCTCTGGTTAGAGTCGAAATCATTGACCCTAACAATTTTATACGCTTAAATATTGGCATTATGCCGACAAAGATGAAAATGAGGCAAACATCAAGGTTTAAACAATGTAAATCTTTTATTTACCAAAAAATTGTTAGCATTATTATAAATATTCTTTTGGGGGGGCATTACCGGATTAATTGCGATGACTCCACCATCGATCATATGAAACTGTTGGCCAGCATTCTCAAAGAGGTATGGAGGGAGATACGTTGGTGCAGCTGAAGTGGCTACAGCAATATCTGAGAGCAAAGCATTCAATTGCGGCACTTCGTCCAACTGCATATAAACCAAGTTGATTGTGTAAGATTAAAAGTTGGGCAAAATTAGAATTAAAGATCTTGTTAAGCCATTGATTCAACTTACAAACCTCCAATTATAGAATTTTCATTAAATTAAAGAACCATGATCTTTGCCTGGAATTAAGATGTGTGAGTTGACAAAATTGCCCTTATCTTCATAAGAATTCATAACTAAGCTATATGTTTTTGCCACTCGTTGCTTGTAACCTACTGGCATAAGGGCCCCCCGCCCCTCCTATGTATGAATAGGAGGTTGCATGATCATTATGAAGTTCTTCCTAACACAATGTAACCTTAGGTCCTTTTTGTTATTTTGGAAGGAGGATGAGAGATAAGAATGGGAAAGCAACGAATCGGAACTATTTGGGCTGAAAACACTTGGAGCTGTACCAAAAGGAGTTCCCACTTCCCAGGACTCAGACAATGGGATACAATTTCATTCCTCAATGATTAATGTATCTAATTAAAATTTTACAGAGTTAATCATAGTCCCATAAAGCTGGATTTTACTATTACACGTATCATAAAATCCAAAAGGCTCAAACTTTAAAAGTTGATACGCAATCTTCCTAGAAAAATAACACCGAAAATTTGACACACGATGAAATACAAAAGGCAAGACAACAACATCAAGGAAACGACGAACAAACATGGTACCTTATAATTTGAGAATAGCGTAGGTGAAAGTTGCTTCATGTCGAAAGCTGTAATCACAACATTCGTCAAAGTATCATTCAGTCTTGTTTGATTCAACATCTTTTGCGTAACATAACGCAAGTAAGCGTTACTGTACTTGGGCTTCAACAGATTTGGGCTACATAAATAAAACCTCAAATGTTAGTCTATTAGTCTTAAAAATATGTGGCTTTATGAATCATGAATTTGCGTATGTGTGTGTGTGTGTGTGTATAATCGTACGGTGTAAGTGGGGGGAAAATGTTGGCAGCTTCATCTTTGTAGAACTGAACAATTTGAGAAGCATCGAACAAAGGTCGCTGGTTTGAGTCTGGAGCTGTCAGCATTTCAGCAATTAGTCCTCCGGTGCTGGTTCCAGCGATTACATCAAAAAAGTCTGCGATCCTTAATTCCTCGTTCTTGCCTATTTCCTGAAACCAACTCATTAAATTAATGAGCTAACTCGTCAGGTTGAACTCATTTTGATGGGTTTAATTACTCATCCGTGTGCCATATATAAAATACAATAATTGAACTATGTAGATAAACAAATTGCTTAAAATTAGTTAAAGAAAATTAATGTATAAGAAATGTATTAATAAATGAGAAAACACGATGAGAGAGATTATGTAAGAAAGAGACAGAAAAAAGAAAAACCGAGTGAGAAAAAAAAGAGAAAGTCTATCAAATTAAAACAGAAAGAATAAAATAATTAATTAATTTAGTAACATATAACCAATGTGGATATACAGTGAATCACATACATACATATATATATATATATATATATATTTAGCACTGCCGATAACTTTGTAGCCAAATTGATATGAAAGCTTCTCTAAAGGTAGAAGGTCTTAGTTCAATCCTGCCTATAATCTAAAGAAGCCGAGGATGACAAGAGAAAACCTTGAGAAGACGTTAGTTTCTGTCTTTTAAATTAAAAAAGAGGACCAACTCTATTCCAAAAGTTGCAACTTTTACATAGGACCGAAGCCAGTAATTTCTGTATATGAAAAAAATGAACTCAAAAAAAAAAAGCTGAAATGAGGGTGGGAACCTGAAGATGAGCTTCAAGGCGTCGGAGAATGACGGCAGGGATGAGGCCTCTGAGACCACCTCCATCAATACTGAGAATGGTAACAATTTTCCCATGCGACGGTGGTGGAAGCTTCGGAATCTTATTACCGGCGACTGATACTAAGTTTGGAGGAAGATAAAGAAGGAGACAAAGAACACCCAATAACAAGCGAGCCGCCATTACTGCCCCACTAGTAAGCTTTAAGGATGTGGAGGCTATTTGTAGATCATTCCAGGAAAAAATATGAGAAGAATGAGGATAATGACAACTCAGCTGGCCTCCTATATAACATGCATGTCAATTTTTTTTTTTAAGGATTTTGTTCCTTCAATGATTTTTTTTTTATTAAAAACAAACACACCCCGATGTGTATACAAAAGTTGGAATATCACGTGGAAATCCAAAAAGCTATATTGAAATTCCTTTAAAAATTCCATTGGAATTGACAATTGTTTTGAAAAATACGTTGAAAGTTGATCAGTTGGAAAAACAAGAAATTCGAAAGGCCAGAATAATATATAAATATCAAAAAGATTGCTTGCTTAAAAGCAATTCTAACTAAAACTTATAGGATTTCCTTCTATTTCTTTTCATAAAACATTTTTGTTGGGAGCTCTCTCTCTCTCTCTCTCTGTGTGTGTGTCTCTCTATGTAATGACTTAATGTTATCATTATTGTGATTAATTACTTCAATTAATTATAATTTTTGAATTTTTTTTATAAAAAGTAGCGAAATGGGCAAAAATATCCAAATTTCTCAGCATCCAGAAAATACAGATGCTTGTGCTGATCTTCCGCCATGTGAACCCTGTCGCGTCCTGAATGCCACACACTGACACTGCACCTTTATGCGGCGTCGTTTGGACGCTTCTTGGTCTCGGGAGTTGTGTGGCTTCATAATTTATATCGAAGTTGTCAGGGAATCATTATTTTTTTAGTTACATTAAATAAAACAAACATATATTCGCCGAACAGAGTAACCATCTTAAAATTTACCTGTTTCGACTATCAAATAAAGAAAATTGATTTTTATTATATTGTCTAGCTATGACCTTTAAGTACAGGTTGTTTTAAATTATTGTATTTTAGTAAAAAAAAATCACTCATTAATGATAATAATTAAATTATACTAAAATACCTTGAATTTTAGCCCATGTATAAATGACCTCCTTAGCCTTTCGAGTTTGTCTAGATTACCTATGCTATCAATTATTTATTTTTCCGATGACAGAAAATAACATATTACTGACCACATATCCTACAAGATCATATAAAAAACCAATTTTACGTCTGGATCAGGTATAAAATCAATTTTAATTTATAAATATAATCTCGAATCACGTGTTGGAGTGCCCTGTTTAATAGTAAGTTGATTCACAGATCTCGTGCTTTTTTTTAATATTGCGTTATTCCATCAGAGGAATTTTTTTTAAGGTGTCTTGCTCCATGAAGTTTTCCGTAATGACTAAATGAAATAAACGACATATTAGTGCTCAGTTCAAAAACAGATTATAGAGGTGGTTTGAAAAGCAAAAAGATTATAAAAAAAAACTCCCTCCGATTTAAAATATAACTACTTGCTCATAATATTTAATTGTAGACATGGGAAAATTAGGAAGAGAAAGCAATTAATGCCATACCTGAGGATCAAATAGGACATGTTCCTTTCTATAAGTCACCTCTAATTATCTCATTAGAATAAAAAAAATAAGCAGTTGATTCATTAACTTTATCTGAAAATAAAACATTTTTTAAAATTTTGCCAATGTTTAAAAGCTTAGAAAAACACTGCATACACTAGTCTTCAGGTCTTGTAGAAAGCTGCTCCCTATATTAAGATTGGAGGAAGTATATGTTGTACTAGAGTTAGCTTAGAGAAAAGAACTTATTTTGGACCTAAGGCAGTATGAAAGAAGAGGGAAGGAGGGAAGGATGAAAGGAGAGGCAGACAGGGCTCATGGGAAACTGGAGGGGCAGAAAAAGAGGAAAATGTGTAAGATATAAAAAGGGGGACACGGAATTACATCTCCGAACATTGTGCTATCTTTTTCTTTTTGGCCAGGTACAGATATGTTTTTATTGAAGGTAATCTTGTTCAAAATACTATTAGATACTAAATGTATATATATCTCCCAACGGAGATTGGAACCTTAGTTCGTTATGTTGTGCAGAATTAGCCTCCTCCGCTAGAACTAACCCAATTGATATTGTGTTGTCTCCATGCTACATTATCCTTATAAGAATTTGATTTAAAAAAGATGAAGAGTTATGTCACGTAAGGTATGAAAGCAATTTTTCAAGGGATTGCCAATCTTTACAACTATGCTATGAGGAGTGACCTTGATAATCCAATAACAGAAAACACCAAGTATTGCGGACTTTGCCTCCAAGCTAATTAAATATTCTTGTTCATAAAACATCAAGGCAAGAAGAATTCTAGAAAACAACCATGGTTATATTTGGATGTAAGTTCAAATCCTACTACCAATATATATATATATGAAGGTCTTGTTAGCAGGTGATGATCTATAACTATCTCTATAAGTGATGTTTGAGTGATCAGACTTGGCTTGATTCGGATATGTTTTGAAAATTCTTTACCGAACTCCTACAAATAGGGCAGGTCAGATGCATAGTGAACCAAGGATCAACACACTTGAGATGAAAGAAATGACCACATTTTGGCAGAACTCGCAAGAGATCAGATTCTTTATAATCCATCAAACATATTGAGCAACAGCAAGGACTACTTGAAATCCCATCATCTTCTTCATCAATCCACAACTTGGCTTTTGATGATGAACTGCAAAGAACCTTAGGGTACATGCAAACCATAGTTTGGTCATCCAAGCATGGCTCCATTACTGTCACGGCCGCCGCTGCCGCCGCCTGGTTCGAGTCTTCTGTAGCTTCAACATTTCTGGTATCAGCCCCATCTGTGTTGGACTGTCTGGTGCAACAATATGATATTACTGAGAGGATAAAGGCTGTAAAGATTACGGTGAAGCACACCGTCAAGCTGTATACTATGTTATTCATCTCTTACAATATAATTAAGCCAATCAGCGATAAAGGAATGATGATAAAATTAGAAAATTGATTCATATGTATAAAATATGTGTGGATATTATGATACCGAGAGATATATAATATTTTTATAAAGTTGTTCTGTTTTCCTTAACGGGTGCTCTATACGAAACTACGTCCGCATTACGGTAGGCGAAAGCAGCAGATTTGAATCATCCCTAATATATGTTTGGAAATTTTAATATTTCTTAAAAGAAATATTACCCAAAATAAAAATAAATATTTAATGATATACTTTCTGAAAAAATATTATCGATAATGAAAAAAAATACAAATAAAATCGGATGAATTTAATCTGACATTTATCCTGCGGTAGGTTTAATATTTCTTTTTTATAGGAGATTATATTTCAAACGTTTAATCTAATTTGAAGATAAACAAAGGAAAAGAAGTGGAAAGGTTCTTGGACCCATATGTTGTCCTGTATTATAATTTTGCAATTACTATTACTATTGTTTCATGACAAATTTTGAGATAAAACATTATAAATTGCAAATTTGTAATTGCCAATATAACTCGTGCCATTGCCGAAATTATTAAAATATCGATTTTACAGGATAGACTTCAAAACTGGTCATAGCCTACGTTGTTGAATTTTACATTGTCTGGGAATATCTACATATAAACAAAACTCCTGTCCTGAAAGAGGCAGCTGCGTGCCGTTTATCTCATTTTCTTATATCAATTATATCCAAAATAGTATTCCACAAAGCTCTCTCTCTCTCTCTCTCTCTCTCTCTCTATCTATCTATAAACATTCAACTTTAATAGCATACTTCATATTTGAGTTAAAAAAATATGATTAGTTGTCAATTTTTTATCCTTACCATTTTTAATATGTACGTGTTAAACGTAGAAACCATAGATACTGCCTCAACTTATAAAATATTAAGGTCACATCATACATACAGCAAACGGAGCTGCGATCTGTCTTCAAATAACATTACTGTCTCCACTACTTAAAATAAGAGTTAGATAACTAATTTAAAAATATTAAAAAATTAGTTAAGTAGGATAATTGTAATAAATGTATATTGACTTTCTTAAATTACTCTATTTAATTATGTGCATTGGAAAGTATTTCTTAGCGGAAATCCTTACAATTAATAAGGATGTTTTAGATAAAACATTATATATCTGAAAAACAAAGTTGATTAAGATCATATATTTAGAACTAAATCAAACTCCTAACTAGTTCTTGTATTAAGGAGTGAAGATAGTATATTGAAATAACATGTTTTTTATCTCGAAATGGCATTGGAAATTACTCCCTTGAAAGAAACCCCTCTTAATATGCATATGGATAGTGTGGAAAAAGAATTATAAATTTAAATGATGCATTGAAGTATTACATTTAAGATTAAAAAATCACTCCCCAAAGTTGCTTCTACATAGAGGAACCAAGGGAGTAACAAATATCGATTGTTTTTAAAATACTCGTGATTGATTGTCTTTATATTTTCAACAATATGAGGAGGCTTTTTTTTCCCCTTCTTTTTTTTGTTGAGCTCAAAGTATCAATCACCAATAGCAGTGACTAATTCCCCTGCATCAGATACTTCTCAAAGAGATTTTAGTGCTGGCCACAAGACCTCCATTTGAATCAGCGATTGAAAAAGTATCTTATGGAGAAGTGAAGTTAGGTAAAAGCTAAATTAGATAAGCTGAATTGTGTTTGGATTGGAGTTCAGAAAAAACTAGTTTGTAAAAGTGAGATTGGTAAAATGTTGTTTGGATTATGGTTAAGTAAAAGTAAATTTGGTTGTAAAATGACCAAAATGGGTATGCATTTTAATAAATAATGAAACATGATAAAAAGAAATGATTTCACATAATACAACGAAATTAAAATAATTTAATATGAAGAAGTCGAATTTAATGAGTGAATTAAATTTTAAAATTTTAGAGAAATCATAAAAAAATATTTTAAATATAAATAAAGTGAAAGATGGAAAAAAAAGAATTGACATAAAAGATATTTTAAATATTTCAAATACTACTTCTAGTACTCCATGAATATACCAACTTGTTTTTTTAATTTTATGTCACGTCCTGTCATTTTCTGAATGCTTGAAAATCGTCAAAGAGTCTCCAAGACGAGGGTCAATATGGTCACAACGGCATGTTCACTCACAACTCATGGGTGACTGCTCTAAATAAAGAAAACAAGTGAACAACTCATGGGAAAATAATTGCCAGAAGGGAGAGAGAGAGGGAATAAAAGAAAATTTTGACACCTCAAAACAGTAACAAGCTCTTCATATTTGAAAAATAAACCCCCTCCTCTGGCTTACTCTGAACGTATGGTGGGATAGCTTATTTTTTCATAAGCCTAATACAATATAAGTTCTCTCAAACAACACCTTCATTTTGGATCGGGCTTCTTGCTATGTTAAGCCACGTTTGGGCCAGCAAACGCTGACCCAAACAGGCTCGAAGGCTTTTTCTTATCCGTGGGGTAAATTTTATCCTCCTTCGAGTTGTGGATTCTTCTAAAGGTAACTTATAATAACAGAACTAATGAATTATGTCGTATTTTCATTTAAAATCTTTTTCAATGTTAGTTATATTTGATGAGAATATTAAAAATATTTCAAAGAATAGAGTATAAGATTAAAACCAACACAATTACATGAAAATATTTAATCATCCCTTTATAATTTGATATTCTAAGGATTGACAGTTTTTTTATTTTAACTAATCAAACTGAAAAGACCAAACCGAATCATCATATATAGTCATTTGTTAACCCTGACCATAACTCTAACGACAAATTATGATATATCGAAGGAAAGAGGAAAGTTACGTATCAACGAGAGGAAAAATTAAAACTTGTTTATTATTGTTATTATTTCTAATGTGAGTTCTTGGGCTTTTCCAAAGCATTAAAAAGCTAGGAACACATTCTGGCACATTGTACACATCAAACCCAAAGACAAATGTAGAAAAATAAACACAAAACAAATTGTAGACGTAGGCACTAATTCTGCTTTTGTTTTTAGTGAATTTTAAAAAGGTTTCCGCCATAAACTTCTGTGAGTTTTCCCACCATGGTTTTCATATACAAAATCAAGCTGAGGGATAATCTTCCAAAGGATTAAGTCCGCACGTTTGAAGTATTTTAGCCTCCATTGCTTCCAAAAAATAAGGGGAAAGATCACAATTCCAAGGTCAAGAATGAATCCCAATGCAAGTCTCTTAAGAAATCCTAATCAATATTGGAAGTTTCAGAATTCTGATTAGAATTGTCATACGATGGTGGTGACGCTAATACTGGAACTGCACCAAAATTGCAGTTCTGTGTCAATGGAGGTCCGCATAATCCTTCATTATTTCCTTCAAATGAATCTGCTTCAAATGACTGTATTTGAGTACCAATTGGGATTGGTCCCTTCAAATGATCGAAGGAAAGCTTTCGAACTGAAAGGAAAGATAGGCTTGCAAGCTCTGTTGGAACATTTCCACTGAAAGAGTTTACTGACAAATCCAATGACTCAAGATACTTCAGATTCCCTATAGATGAAGTGATATGGCCTGAAAAAGCATTCTGTGACAAGTTAAGAGCATGGAGTGCTTTGAAACTCACAAGTTCTTCTGGTATTGGCCCTTCAAAATGGTTCGATGAGAAATCCAAAGAAGTGAAGGCATTAAGAATCTTTACCAACTTCACTTGTCTCCCTTTGTTGACAATTGTTACTGAATCTTGGTAACTCCTTCCTACAAAATCCACAAGACAGACATCATAGAATAAGTGGTCAATCACAAAAGGTGGCACTGCTTCCATAATTTTGGCTAGTTTTATGCAAGATCTTTGGTCAAAAGGAAGTATAATGCACTCCAAAAACCCATTGGATTGATGTTATCGTAGATGTCAAAAGACAAACGGCCAGATTTTGAACCAGCTTCATCACCATCGAGCATAAAGCTTTCCAGCTTTGCAAGAGTGAGGTTGGTATTGTGCCGCTAAAATTGTTGGAGGCAATATCAACAATTTGAAGAGTCTCCCAATAATTTCCAGCGATATTATGTGAGCATGCAAGTGGGCCATGGAAGTTGTTTGATCTTAAAATCATGACCTTTAAGGTGGATATGTTCTTTAAGAAGCAGGGAACCTATCAATTAATTGACTGTTTCCCAGATTCAAGACTTGTAGTTTTTGACAATTGACCAAAGATTTTGGGATGGCACCTTCTAAGAAATTTTCATTGAGATCAAGGAACCTCAAAGCAGAGGAAGTTGGAAATGTATCCAAAATTTGGCCTTCGAGTTTGTTCCTTGCAAGATTTAGTACTCTTAGAGTACTACTCATTCTTGTCAAGCACTTAGGAGTGGTTGGTTTCAATGAAGGAATTATCAGAAAGATCAAGAACCCGAAGATTTTGAATATTACGAAAGGATTCTGGAATTCTCCCATGATAACTATTGTTTGAAAGAGAGAGGGAAAATACAAAATGAAGTTTGGTGACAATGTCGGATGGGGCTATATGGCTAAATCTATTGCTGGAGAAGTCCACAAACATCGCACTTTTCGAAAAAATGGGTGTGGAGCGTTTAAGTTGGTTGGAAAGAAGGTCAACTGTACACAGATTGGTACTGATATTTTGGAAAGCTCCTTCTAAATCTGTCGAAAAATTGTTTGAAAGATTTAGGGAAATCATAAAATTAGACCACCAAATCCAACTGTACCATGAATCTGCGGTTGCTAGATAGGTCTAGATAGAGTAAATTGGACTGTTTCCTTAGAAAGACTGGGAATTCTTTCAACTTGCAAGAAGCTAACATAAGCTGGTTCAATTTGGGAAATGTTGACAAATCAGGTTTATCCCTCAAAGTTGTATTAACTGACAGATTGTAATGATTAAGGCCTAATGTAACCAAACTTTCCATCATTTTCACTGTATCCAAATGCATAGTTCCATTGAACTTGTTTGAGGAAAGTTGGAGAACACTAAGCTTTGTAAGATGGAAGATGGACAGGGGAATAGGCCCTTCTAAATTATTTCACCTAGCGTCGAGGATCTCAAATGAAGAGAATGATTCATTTGGGAATTCATCCAATACACCCTCAAATCTATTATGAGAAAGCATAAGTTCTCCAACAGATCGAAGTGTAAAAAGATACAATGGAACTCTTCGAATTCAAGACTCTTAAAATGGAATGATAGAATTTCACCTATCAAGCGATTGAGAGAATCAGATAGATGCTTGAGGTTCTTGGACATATTGAAATATGGAAGAGGACCAGTGAAGTTGTTGGATAACAAATCCACATGAACAAATTGGGTTAGATAAGACATTGAACCTGGAAGCGTCCTATTGAATTGACAGCTTGATATATCCAAGGTAGATAACTTCCTCAGCTGATGGAAGTTGGTAGTTGCCCTGAGAAATTTGTATGGCTGAGGGTTCAAGGTTTTGAGAGATCCATGATGTGGGAAGTTTGGCAAAGAGCCATGAAGATCTTGATTGTAAGTACATCAATGACTTCCAAATTTGGCATTTGAAAGATCTTTCTACAAAACACTCCACTCAAGTTGCAATTGTTGAGTTACAGGGTGGTTAAATTTGTTAAACTCACAAAGGACTCTGGCGCAAAGCCTGCCAAATTGTTATGGTTCAGTCTAAGAATTTTGAGGGACTGAAGCTCTGAAAGTGAGGAATCAATATCCTCATAGATTGCAAAATGACAAACTAAAAATCTGAAGCCTTTTTCAGTGAAGATAGATCATGGCCCCACTCTATTTCCCTCGCCAATATCTGCACACCATCCAAATGAAGTTCTGTTATTTCAGTAAGACTTTGCAGAAGTTCAACAATATTTGGCTTCTCAAGCTTTAGAGTGTGAAGTGAGGTAGACTAATCAAGAGAAACCAGGTTCGTTAATTGAAAGACTTCAATTGGAGTCTGTCCCTCAAAGCCAGCATTTGACAAATTTAGATGCCTCAAGATATTCAATTTGTGAAACTCCGGAGAAATCACTGAATTGAAGTCACTGTAGGCCAAGTTCAAATCCTGTAGATATTGAAGGTTGAAGAGACCGCTCAAGCTATCAAATCCTCCGGAGATAGATTCTTCACTCAGATCCTAACGCAGGTTTGAAACTGAGGTTATTCTTTAAATGAAGCAAGGCAGATCCTTGATGGCCGAGGCAACCATAACCAGTCACTTCAAAGATATTAAAACTCAAGTTCGTAAAGGGATATCAAGAAATTCCATGAGTGACAGCTAGTTCTCATTGGATTCTCTGAGACGAATATGGTGGGAGACAAGTATGACTGATGATTTTGAGGTTCACGATAGATTTTCCCTTAATTAGATGTTATGCATATCTAACTCGGACTAGGCATTGGTTGTGCCTCTCAGCTACGCCTCATTGTTGAGACCCTTCCCTTTTTATTTGTTCTTCCAATTAATCATTGGATTCTACGTAAAATAGTGACATTTTGACATTTTATTAGCAAAAAATGATTCAGTTTTCAATTTTTTTATGATTTTTCAACCAGCTGGAGGATAACCTTTGAATTAATACTCACATTTGCTTTTCATCTTTTTTCCTATGGGGTGAAAAGCGCAATGCTAGAGTATAACAAGGGGAAATTGTTGTAAAGACTGGTCTTATTCCTGTTTCAGAGCAAATGCACCTTTTCAGGGAAGCTATGAAGAGCCTCAGTTATATGGTTCAGGTTCTGCTAAATGCTGTTGAAACATCAAAATGCAGAATTCTCCATTTGCATTCTGTAGAACATTTGAATGTTTCTTTCTAACTGGTCACCGGTCCCTATAATGCCCTTTGTATTTGCATTAGCCTTTCTTTCTTTCTTTCTTTCTTTTTTCAATTTAGTTTTTGTTTTTTAACGTGGGTCACTATAGTGTGGGCACTTTTATAATTGGTGGAGGATTAATAGTTGCAAGCAACAGTGCAACGCTATATTTTTGCTCCTTCTTTCTTTACATCTCAATACCATCTGCCTGATTGATATTAAAGTTGACGAATCATCTGATATATTATTGTCACCAGTGTTCATTTGCAGTCATACTGAAGCCAAATTGGATTTGAAGATGATCTATATCTCAAATAACTTGCTTAAAGGATTCTTAAAAAAAGCTAAAATATAGAAAACCTCTCCAAACGTTGGCTTAATTGGTTTATGCCAGTTTTTGTATTTTTTATTATATGTCATGTTATTTTTTTTAAAAATAGTTGGTATTTGGCGTGTTTTTCTAAGTATTTTTTATTTTGATTCAAAGAGGGCGTGGACTATTTTGTCATTTCCATGCTCTAAAATTGCAGTGATGGTTTTCCACGTGCAACAAGACAAAGCTTTCCACGTGCAACAAGACAAAGCTCCACGGGTGAAAAAAATCTCAGGCGACAAAACGAAATGGTCAAAACTGATTAAAGGGGTGTTTGGCAACTTCCAAACCATAGATTCAAAAGTACTTTTTCGTAAAATGAGATAAATTTCTTCACATATTTATTTCGTAAACTGTAAAAACACTTCTGAAACTATGGTTTGATTTCTATCCAAACACCTCCAAAAAGAACCTCAATTAACCAAGTTGTGTACAGAGTGAAATACAAGAAATTGAAACTTACAAGCAAGGTCCAAAATGGTGATCCGCTTGCCAACACAATGGCTGGACGGTGGACCTCTGATGCCTGTGTTACAACTAACACTACTAAATCATCTAATGGACTGGCGGTGTCACTTGGAAGAAAATACTAAAAATGGAGTTGTAACGACGACCTCACTTTGGAAGGGGAAGATGGAAAGATTAACAAAAGAATTCAAACACCATGTTTTGAATGGAACAAGTCAACTATGGAGACGACCAAAATATCATGAGAATCTACGAAGTGAGATACAAGCAAATGCATAGGGAATTGTACGTTCTTGACACGCTGGACTATAAATTGCATCAGTCACGTCAGTGACGACTGTCCAGTTCCTTTTGAACTCAAACGCAGTCAACACATCATATATACTGCCTTCCTTCCTAATTATAACCCGCAGTTAACTAATTTGAAAAGATTAAGAAAAGAAATTAAATCAGTTATTTGTAATAAATAGATATTGTCTTTCCTAAAATATTCTTATTAATCAATTATATTGGTTAAGACTACAATTATAAGAAGGACAATCTTGGAAAAAAAATGCATAATATGAGAGACAAAATGGATTGAAGTCTTATATTTAGGACCAAAATAAAAGTCAAATAAGATCTTATATTAAGGATCGGAGGTAATACATACATAAACGCATATCGACGTTCTTTTCTTTATCAACATCAGATCGGTCTTCCAAATGTAAAATGCCTATTTTGCATCTCAATAATAATTATTAAAAATGTTTATAAAAATTCATTAATTAAGTCAAAATAATAATGAAAATTATTAAATTAAAAAATGGGAGGAAAAATGATTAAAATTTTCATAAATGTAAAAATAGATAAATCAAAACAAAATTGACTAGTTTAACATAAAACTGATCGGGTTTTATAGAAGACCTTACTTGGGAAGAAGAAAATCAAGATATCTTTGAATGGAATACAAGATTTGAATTTCAAATCCAAGAAATTAGAAAAGAGAACAAAAAAAACCTGACATATGGGTGTTTAGATTAACTTTCTGCAAAGTGAGGTCTTATATGTCTGGTCTCGTTTGGGGGGGGGGGGGAAGGTGTTTTAGTATAAAGAAAATTTTGTGGGACGGATCAGATATCATTTTATATTACTTAATTAATTACTTTTCTAGATTAAGTAGATAATAAATTATAAATTAATAAGATAATAACATAGTATTCCTCCGGTTCTAAAAATAAAACACATTTTATAGTGTAAATTACATTATAAAATGGATTCCATATTTAGAATTAAAGGAGTACTACATGCATATTAGAATTTCTCCCATATTATTTAAGAATTTATACACAGCGTAGAATATCAGATAATAAGCCGGCTCAGACCATGGCTAGGGACACACGATTCTTAATTAGTCTTTGACCAAAGATTATTTCTTATCGATCATCCAACCGAGAAACAAAATTATATTCGTTATCTTTTACTCCTCCGGTCCTAATTATAAGACCCAATTGACTTATTTGAGGAGATTAAGGAAGTAAGTTAAGTTGGTTATTTATAATAAATAAGTGTTGTCATTCCTAAAATATCCTTGCTAATTAAGTATATTGGCTAAAACTATCATTATTAGAAGGATTATCTTGGAAAAAAATGCATAAATATAAGAGACAAAATGGATTGGGTCTTATAATTAGGACCAAATAAAAAGTCAAATTGGGTCTTATAATAAGGACCGGAAGAGTACTATATAACTAGAAATTTCTCCCCGGACCAAAATATTTGATTAAATTTTAAATTCTAATAAATTGTATTATCTAAAGTAGCTCAAAATTTACTTCTTATAAAAGTGTGATTTTTTTATTCATTCAAATAAGATTTGAACTAGAGATTCCGAAATTAGGAGGAACATATGAAAATTTAAATTTATTTATTTATTTCTCCATTTAAGCCCCTAATTGACATACTATTTAATTATGATGCTTCCCATTTAATTTAATATATTCAAATCCCAATTAATATATTATTCAAATTCAAAACTAATTATTAATTTCTTTATTTGAGCCTCCAATTGAAATTTTATTTAATAATGATGCCCCTCATTTAATTCAATATACTCAAATCTCAATCAAAATATTATTCATACCTCATTAATTAAATATTTTCGGACGTCATAATGCCATACTCGACCCGTATTTAAACGAATCAGATATTACAAATTTTCAAGAATATAGTTGATAGTTGATTCTTTTAAATGAGAAGAAAATTTATTCAAAGGGACACTACAAAATCTTGTGCGTTCTAATGTCTATAGGAGAAAACTAGAAAAGTCTCGCTCCTTGGTGATGTACCACTCTCTTTCGGAGTCAAATACAGTTTAAGTCCCACAATGAACAATGAACAATGAACAATGAACATCACTTCCCCCCATGTCTCATTTTTGAAACTCCATTTACTAGTTCATACCCTTTTTCTATTTAAAAGAGCAGGCCCTAATAGTCTCAAAAAAAAAAATTAAAAGCGAGTTCAAATATACAGGCTACACTTGTGAAAAAGTTTTCATGCTGCTAAATTATAGAGTTAATTAATCCGCAAGTCCTTGTAGTTTCAACGAATTTTGAATCAAGTCCCTATAGTTTTTTTTCTTTTTATCAGGTCCTTATACTTTTATCTTTTTTTAATTAGGTCCTTGTATTTATTTTTCTTTTAATTAAGTCCTTATAATTTCATTAAATTTTTAATCAGGTCCATGTAGTTTTAATTTTTATTTATTAATTAAATATAAGCTTAATTAAATAGATTAATACTGAAATATAAAATATTAATAATTAAATTAAATTAATAATTATGTAATAAAAAAGTAATAGAATTAATTAATTCAGGAAAATTTTTTAGAACAATTAATTTTTTTTCTGAAAAAATTAAAATCATTATAATAATTCAATATCTTGAGAATATTATTGTTTATAAACTAATATTAAATAATATATACTATTTTATGTTTATATAATAGTACTGTTAGAATTTATAAAATAAAGAATAAAAAATTCAGGGACTTAATTAAAAATAAAGTGAATTTATAAGGACTTGATAAAATGAAAAATAAATACAAGGACCTAATTAAAAACAGGTGAAAGTATAAGGACCTAGTAAAAAGAAAAAAAATTATAAAGATCTGATTCAAAATTAGTTGAAACTATAAGGAGCTGTAGATTAATTATCCCTATTTTTTATTATATCTTACTTGTCTTTCCCACTAAACAATTCAAAAGAAATGTATGAGATGGCATGTCTGGTGTTTTTTCATTTGCCCCTTTTTTCGTCTTTTTCTTTTTATTCTTTTCATTTTTCTGGTCTCTTTTGTGATGTGACATGTGATAAGTGCAGGAACGAAGAGAATGAGAAGCTAACACGCACCCATGAACCCGGAAGCGCTCATCCTTGATGAGTACTTTGGACCTTTGGATTTTGGACCCATTTATAATAGTTTATTAGTAGCTTTTAATAGTGATTTATTGAACGAAGTTAATATACCAGAGGAGTTTTGTTTTAATTTACGTAAAATATATTTATAAATAATTTAATTGTGATGACAAATAAGGTTATTATCTTAGCAATCTAGATGTAACATTTTCAATTAATTGCTTTTAAATAAGAATTATTTTTTTGAAGAAAATGACAAGTAAAAAATTATCTTTATTTTACATTATGTACCAATTAAAATTATTATTTTAAAAATATAAAAAAATAAATCTAGGCAATTTACGGATGGGCCCTGGGTGAAAAGAAATAAAGAGGAATATAAAGCTTTTCTTTCTCTGGTTTTATTTTCTTTCTTTTTATTTTTTTTTCAGGTCTAAAGTTATTTTCTTGAACCACAACCACAACCTTTACCTATCCTCTTTTTTCCAAGTCCAACCAAAACCAATTCATTTGTTTTTTGTCCAATTGACTGATTTGTTGGTTCACTTTCTAAAAAAAAAAAAAAGGTTAGACGATAGATATTAATTTTATCCTAAACACAATATTGCATTTTAAACATAAGATTTAATTTGGTTCTACCTTGGTCCAATTATACCAACAATAAAGCGTGTTTTTGTAAACATATCATATAAGGAGTTTGTTACTTGCTAGGGGCTTTAATTTTGATCCAAAGTATAAAATATCAATCCACTTATAATTTTTTTCCCTAAACTATCTAGATTAATAGCATGTGTTAATGGAGGTTCTATCAAGGAGAGTACAAAATGCAGATGGCTAATAACAATATTTTTAAGAAAATCAACACATATTTTTAATAAATAATTAATTTGAATTTTTTAATGTATACAAATTAGTTACCTAATTCTTATATTAAGAAGCAAAGATAGTATATGGCCCCGTTTGGCATAACGGTAGAAATTTCTCATAAACACATTTCACATAAGTCGAGACAAAACTTTCCTCACATACTTGTCTCATATTCTGTAAATCACTATTGAAAAGCTATTTATAAGCTGTTTCAAACAGGTATTACCTTTGCCTAGCTCAAAAAGACTGGCTAATACAAAAACATATGCAACTATCACCAATTGTGTATTTTGGTGTCCGTTTCAGACAATCAAACTCGCATTTAATCACCTAATTAATGAGAAAGGGGGAAAAAAACGTACTTTCTTTAAATTCAGAAATTCGTTGGATCTAAGGAAGCTACTTTCAATTTGTTGTATCCAAACACAGTGGACTTCAGATCATGTTGCTTCAGCAACAAAACGTAGAAGCAGCCTTGTAAAAGTGTGTTTGGAGCCCTTACCAAAAAAAAAAAAGTGTGTTTGGAGCGAAACACGGCCTTAACTAAGCAACATTAACTATCACGGTATTTTGCATAGAATTACTAACTACAGAGGGAGAAGAAGAAGTTCGACACAAGGGACAAGTAGGATGCAACCTGAGCCATGGATCGACACAGTGAAGGTGATAAAGGTGGCCACAATCCGGAAGCAATCTCAACTTATCAGTTTCCTTATAATCCCTCAAGCAGATTGAACAAGAAGAAGGATTGAAGACATTGCTGATCCGCTTCGCCTGCGAGTAGTAAAGCGGCCACGAGTTTCTGCGTAAATTGCTTTCATCATCAGTGACGACATCGACGACGCCGCCCACGGGGGAGCTTTCTTCTCCGACGGCCAGAGAATTTGAAGAAAACTTGTACCTTCGAAGGCGACCACAAGCCAAAAGTACGGTTAAGAGAAAGAAGATCACAACAAAAAGGAAGGAGAATTGCATAATAAGGTGATGGAGTTGATGAAGGTGTTTATTATATATGATTGTTCACTTTCTGCAGAACAAGCAGACAAGTGAGAATGAAGAGTAAAATGTAAGCTTGACTGAAAGTTTATTATGTAAAGTGGGGATCAATGTTTATTTGTATATGTCTTTTTCAGTTTCGAATAGTTTATAGTTTATGTCGTTTTTGTTAATCTCTGGGTTTTATTGGTAGGGTAAGGTTTTTGAATGGACTGGCCGATTGATGTTAGGTTACTGTTTGTTTTGGAATTTTCTGGGAAAAGATCAGGACAAACGAGCTGCGTAGACAATGAGTTTGCGCGGATTCTGATGATCAATTAGATCAATAATACAACACCAATGATTCTAATCCGTTGCTTTTTACTGTGTCAACTTTGGCCCAATATTGGCCTGGCAGGTCATCGATCTCGAGATGAGCAAGAGGCAAATCGAGGGGGGAAAAAACTTGGGACTGTTTTTGGATTAGGATTGGACCAAAATGATATCCAAATCTAACCCCAAGAATACTCTTATTTCCTTCTTTTTTTTTGGTAATTATGTGAATACTACACTTGAGATCGAAACCTCATCTCGAACAATTACAAGATAAAATTATTATAATTTTAAATTTTTAGAATAAATTCGCACTTAAAAAATTTTCAAATACCCAACGTTTATGAGTAAAATTTTTCAAAACAAATTTGCAACTTAATCCTAAAATTATACATAACTTATGAATAGTACTCCTCCGGTCCTTAATATAAGACCCATTTAACTAATTTGATTAGATTAAGGAAATTAGGTAAGTTAGTTAATTATAAGAAAAGTGACACATTTTTCCTAAAACACCATAATCATCTTTCTTTATACCCCATCTCCCTTTTCTACTTGATTATAGTTGAAGGAGTATCCATAGAGGTAATTTAGAGAAAATTAATGAATATGAGAAATGGGTCTTATATTTAAGACCAAAACCAACTCAAGAATTAGGTCTTATATTAAAGACCGGAGGAGTATAATTTATTACCTCCTTTACTCCATATTATAAGGCATTTTAGCTAATTCGCTTGGATCAAAGAATAACAGTTAACTTATTAATTCTGTGTTAAATAAATAAAATTTTTTAACTTTACCAATGAGATTTTGAGGGAGAGAAAAACATGAAGACTTGAAGAGCCATAAATTACCGGGAAAAAATTAATGAATAAGTATTAATGGTTCTTCAAATGACTTATATTAACTATAAATAATCCTCCTAGAAAATAGCTTATAATAAGAATAAGAGATAATATAAAGTTTATATTTTATATTAATTTTAGGAAACATAAAGCATATAATCCAAACACTAAGAAAAGGAAGAGAAAAACAAATAAGATTAGCATTAAAAAAAATTATTAGAACTGAAAACACAGAGAAAAAGTCATTATAGCAGTTTGGCCACTAGCTAGCTTGTTTCCTTTATTTTCTTTGAGTTCACACGCTGGTGTTCATATTCTGGAACTCAGCGTTCATCTTTTAATTTTAGTGTCTTGAAGTTGGTGCTTGGTGCTGCTTGTCATCATCTGAGTCTACTAGTCAACATTCTAGTAAAAAATGGTCAAATGAGTTATTATTTTTAAATAAACCACTTGTTCACTTCACTTAATTATCAAAGTTAAGACTGGTTCAAAAATTACTTGTCGAGGTATTTATATGTAGATAATTTTTATTTGGAAATTTTTTTCCTAGCCATATCTTTCAAGAGGGAAACTTTAAAAGAACAACTTTGAAAATTATCATTAAAACAGTATTTGGGACTCTCAACTTAACTCTTTCATTGTATTGTATCACCTTATATGAAAGTAGTATTCATATTAGCTTGTTTTAAATACTTTTGTGCCATACAAAATAAGGATATTTCATTAATTAAACAAAAATCCTTTTTCGTCAACAGTTAAAAGAAATTCCTCAAAAGAACTCAGTTCATAAAATTCGGAAAAGAAAAATTTATTGCTATAATCTCTGTTTCGGGAAAAATTTATTAAATAGTATGATTTAGGCAGAAAAATTTCCTTCTAAGATTGCGTTGTTTAACCATTTAGCCAAAGCAGGTTCTCCAAATAGATTAAAGGGATTAATTAGTGGTTAAGGAATGTGCTGTCTCTGTTTTCTTTATCTCTAATTATGTGATTACGCTTATATGATAAGCATGATCTGTTAATTTGTCTTATTCAAATTGCTATTATTTCCCCCTTTTTTTCCCCTAACATTTGAAGGCGTGCTGCTGCCATTGTTTTCTGCTGATGTTGACTTATCTGCCTAAATTGCAATTTGTTTTTTCTTTTATTTTTTAAATTAAAATGGTCCAAGAAGAAAGCACTACAACATTAAAGAAATCCAAATAACAAAGAAAAGAAGAAAGAATGGGATGACTGAAGAAGGAGGAGGAGGATGAAAATGAAGAAGGCCAGGAAAAAAATCAGAAGAAGATGGAAATGGAACGAGAGAAGTGAGTAAAATCCAGACAAAGTAAATATGTAAGAAAAATTCTATTTCATGAAACATATAATACTACTTTCGGTTCTTAATATAAAAATTGATCGACTAATTTAGAAATATTAAAGAAGTTAGTTAAATTAATTATTTGTAATAAATATATATTATCTTTTTTAAAATATCATTATTAATAATATAAAATTATCCTTTCATGGAAATTTATAATATGAGTTCCACTATAAGAACTATTTTGAAAAAATGTAAATAAATATAAAAGACAAAGTAAAATAGAATTTTATATTTAAGATCAAATTAAATATCAAGTTAGTTCTTATATTAAAGACTGGAGATGATAATTTTTTTTTTTTTATTGATTCTACCATTTGCCAAACATGTATCAGAGATCCACCGTGCAGCCGTTGTGTTGGCAAGTGGATCACCATTTTGGACCTTGCTTGTAAGTTTCAAGTTCTTGTATTTCACGCTGTACACAACTTGGTTAATTGAGGTTCTTCTTAGGGTGTGTTTGGATGAAACCAAACCGTGGTTTGGAAAAGTGATTCTGGAGAATAGATTCTGGGAAAAATAGATTCTGTGAAGAATAGATTTTGTAAAAAAGTGATTCTGAGAAGTGAGAGTGTTTGGATAGTTGTTATCAGAAGCATTTTTTATACATACAAATTACTAAAAAAAAGACACAAGTTAATATGATAATTACAGAAAAAATAGATTTTATGATATATTTTAATTTGAAAGAATAAAATTATTAATAATATGTTTTTTACCAACATAATTAATAATACATAAGACAATATAATTAATAAATAATTAATGTGTATATATATTTATAAAATATAAGATTAAATATATTTATAAAAAATATGTTTATAAAAAAAATAACAAGATACATATCATATAGGCCCTCACACTCTCCCTTTTTTCTCCAAAAGCAAAAAAATTTTGCTTTTTCCAAAACCATGGTTTTGGAGTCAAAACCATGGTTTTGACCCAAAACCATGGTTTTGGTTTTTGGAGGGGGTGTTTGGGTGACTTATCACCCAAACCATGGTTTGGGTCCCCAAACCATGGTTTGGGGTGTCACCCAAACGGAGCCTTAATCGGTTTTGACCATTTCGTTTTGTTGCCTGAGATTTTTTTCACCCGTGGAGCTTTGTCTTGTTGCACCTGGAAAACCATCCTTGCAATTTTAGAGCATGGAAATGACAAAATGGTCCACGCCCTCTTTGAATCAAAACATAAAATACTTAGAAAAACACGCCAAATACCAACTATTTTTTAAAAAGTTAACATGACATGTAATAAAAAATACAAAAACTGGCATAAACCAATTAAGCCAAAGTTTGGAGAGGTTTTCTATATTTTAGCTTTTTTCAGAATCCTTTAAGCAAGTTATTTGAGATATAGATCATCTTCAAATTCAATTTGGCTTCAGTATGAGTGCAAATGAACACTGGTGACAATAATATATCAGATGATTCGTCAACTTTAATATCAATCAGGCAGATAGTATTGAGATGTAAAGAAAGAACGAGCAAAAATGTATGGCAAATATCATATAGTGTTGCACTGTTGCTTGCAACTATTAATCCTTCACCAATTATAAAAGTGCCCACACTATAATGACCCACATTAAAAAACAAAATTGAAAAAAGAACGAAAGAAAGAAAGGCTAATGCAAATACAGAGGGCATTATAGGGACCGGTGACCAGTTAGAAAGAAACCTTCAAATGGTCTACAGAATGCAAATGGAGAATTCTGCATTTTGATGTTCCAACAGCATTTAGCAGAACCTGAACCATATAACTGAGGCTCTTCATAACTTCCCTGAAAAGGTGCATTTGCTCTGAAACTGGAATAAGATCAGTCTTTACAACAATTTCCCCTTGTTATACTCTAGCATTGCGCTTTTCACCCCATAGGAAAAAAGATAAAAAGAAAATGTGAGTATTAATTCAAAGGTTATCCTCCAGCTGGTTGAGAAGAGTCTGGGAACCATCATCTGTGTTCTCATTGTCATTGTTATTTTCTGCTATATCAGATAATCCTATGAGTGATGCATAAACTTTATCATTATGAAGTCCTGATTGTCGCAACAATTCAATTAACACTTCGGAGCTTGCCGTGTCATTTTCATCTTGACAGAGCTTGAAGTATGCAGAAACATTCACAGGCTTTGGCTTCCAGCTCTTTGAACCCTCCTCCATGAAAGCTTCCTTAAAGCAAGACAAGGCCTCAGAAACCTTCCTTTCTCTAATATGCCCCTCAGCAAGAATCTCCCATGTACTTGAATTCGGTTTCCCGTCAACATCAAGCATATGTTTAAAGAAATCCTGAGCTTTATCTATATTTCCATTCTTCACATGCCACGCTAGGAGAAGATTTCCTATTCTAGCATCATAAGATGTTTTCACAGAAAGCCATTCCTCATAGAGTTTTTCCGCACCTTCAATATCACCTATCCTAACCAGAGAAGAAATAATAGCATGATACCCCAAGTTTGGAATAGTGGGGAAAACCGATTTATAGGTATTCCACATACGATAAACCTCCTCCTTTTTACCAACACTTCCATATAAACTCAGGAGGTAATGATAAGGTATCCTATCTCGACCTCTGATTCGACTCTCAACTTTTCTTAAGCTCTCTTCAGCCTTTTCCAGCAGATCCATCTTAATGTACATTGTAGCTAGTGTGCTGAACGTAGTCCAGTTTGGAATAATGGACTTATCCTTCACCATCTGCTCAAAGACTTGTTCCATCTTTTCTGATGATCCTTGTGATCCACAAGAAGATAACCAGATATTATATGAATATATATCTAACTGTATGTTTTTCTCCATCATTTCTGAAACCATCAAGTCAACCTTATCATATTCCTTTAGGTTCATGTACAGAGTCATCATTACATTAAATGGAAGTGAATGAGTTGCATATTCTTTACTCCTCATGGTGTCAAGCAACGATTCTGCCTTTTCTTTCATCTTATAACGTACATAGGCATTCAAAAGAGCCCCATACGTCCTCCTCTCTTTTAATTTATCAGGCAACTTAAGAAAATATTCTTCAGCAGTAGAAACTCCACGAACTTTGGAAATAAGATCTAATTGAATTGCAGCATCACTTGCAGATAGTCTAAACCTCTCCCCCCTGTTGTTCATCCATTCATATACCTGCAAGATTTGCTTATGGTAAGTGGATTTTATTCATGTGATATTTTTCAAGCTTAATAAAAGCATATTATAAGGCGAACAACAGAAGATATATTTTATCAATGTTTTTCAACGCTGAGATATTAATGTCATTCAAGATATCTGAGTTTCTTTTAGACAATTAGCACGATAAATGGAAACAATAGTGAGGGAAAAAGAAAGAATTCTGCTCAGGCACCTCGGCTCATCTTTCATGTTAGAAAAATGATCATCTACTACAAGAAAACAGTCTTTCCCTTTACCTAAAAAGAAAGTAAATAAAATGTGCAATCCCACCATCTGATAAATTTAAAAGCCATTAGACCATCTCACAATGTGGGGAACGAAAAATGGGCTTTGGAATTGTATGAATTTCACGAATAACGGTCATAGTATTGACAAATCCCAAATCTCAAAATAAAATAAGTAATAATAGTACAATAATCCTCCAAACTCAAATTCTACATAAAAAATGACATAGAAAGCATGCTTTCTCAGGCTCAGACAAAGATAGAGCTCCCAAGGAATCAATCAGGTTATACTGCAGTCTCGATTAATCTGGTGCCTAATACTTTATACCAAAATTTTGAATAGCGCACATATTTTAAGCCAAGTTTTGATATGCTACATTGATGCTTCCAAATTATTGGAACTTATTCTTGGTTTCTACAGAGTGAAGGATAGTCCAAGAATGTCAACTATGCATATAGCCACTGCCTCAGATGACACATAATGAAGCTTGAAAAAAGCCTAACAGATTCTGCTTAGAAATCTTGAATTTTTTTTTTTTTGGGGGGGGGGGGGAGATCAAGACAGAACAGTTCGAGATTTTCCCCTAAATTTAATTTCTTCTTCTGATAATTTACACTCAGAAGCAAGGAAAGCAATACAGAAGTGGCACAGCTAAATGGTTTATTTTGGTGTGGATTGTGACACAAGCAATACCCTCAATTTGTAGAATCTTCATTCTTCCTCTCACCCTCTATCTCGCCCCATTTGGTTGGAGCAGAAAATGCTAATGATTGAAAATTTGAAATCATCTGAAAGGCAGAGCTAGCTGCTCTGTAGAGTTTGTTGAAGGATTGAAAAATATATATATATATATATATTCTACAACACACTTCAAAAAAAAAAAAAACTATTCATGAGTATATCTTTTTTTTTTCTTTTTGGCTTTTATATGTTCCTTTTGTCCCTCTACTCATAACAAAGTAATAAGATGTCCCATGGGGCAAAAATCAATGCTTAACATAGCATAGACCTCAAAGCAATTTCACACAACAAGCTAATAATCTGGACGGAGTGATGTAAATTTGTATCAATGGGGTATCAAATCCTTCCACTAGAAAGATGGTAATGCCTGTATTGCAGTCTTTCTTTGGGGCTAGAAAACTAGCACATGGCCAGCCTACAACCCTGTTATGGTAAGTGAAGATCCATATACTAGTACATATTTAACTAAATATCTTTCAATACCGCAAAAATTCTTTCATTTTACATTATTGGATCACTGAATTTGCATAAGCTGAAAATTCTGACCTCCTATTCCAACAAGCAACAATTCTATCCTACCCTTTGATCTTTCTACAAACTCTGAGGACCTTGGTCTAAAACCCCAAATTTAATGCTTGGGTACAGCAATTCAGCACACATGTAAACTTTAACACAGTCCCCTCTTGTTTCAGCTAGTCAAATAATACCTTGGCATAGAAGTATAGTATCAAAACTAAATAACCAATTCAATCCTGAATTTGCATCATCCATCACGAACTAAACAAAGTAACAAAATAAATCACAGCTGTCAACCAAAATACACAGAAAGCGAATTAAATATTACGAAAGATAGAAAGTCATTTTCAGTTTCTGACCTCAAGAGCTCGGTCATGCTTCTTGTATTTCCTCAATTCTTTCACCACTCTACAAAGCTCCCATTTTGTGAGAGTCTTCCCTTCATTCTCCCACTGATTCAACACACTCGCAGAACCCAACTCTGGGTTTTTCATCAACGATATTCTCCTGTACACATCGTTCCATCTCACAATGGGTCTTCGCTCATAGTCCAGAGTTCCGTAGCTATGAACTTTAGAGATTGAGCATCTGATGGAGAGTCTCTGGAAACATACGGATTGTCGAAGTGTGCAAGTGGAAATTTTCAGAGGAAGGGGTCGAGCGTAACATAGAGACGATGAAAGAGATACGTTTTGATGGTGCAGGGAGGATTGAAGGAGCATGTTGTTGGGTTCAGTGGTACAAGCTCGACCTAGAAAGCGGGAAGTAGATGTGCTCTTTGCCCGAAGGAGATAATAAAAAGGGAGGACAAAGTATCCCAAAATGATGATGCAAGCGAAATTAAATTAAATTAATAAAAATAGGAAAAAATAGGAATCAATCCTCTTTAAAAATTTTACTTGTCTCAATGAATTTTTATATCAAAAAAAGCATTAATACTCCGCAAATTTTTAACAAAGTATTGTTATTTAAGTCTCCCTTACCAGTAAAGTTTCTGATAAGGAATTTTTCATATTTTTCCCTACAAATTAATATTTTAGTACAAATCATACTACCTCTTGTCCTAATTATAAGAGCTAGTTGACTAATTTGAGAAAGTTAAGAAAAGAAGTTAAGTTAACTATTTGTAATAAATATGTATTGTCTTTCCTAAAGTATCCTTATTAATCAAGTGTATTGGTTAAAATTATAATTATTAAAAGGATTATCTTTAAAAAATTGAGTAAATATGAGAGACAAAATGGATTAAAATCTTATATTTAAAATTAATATAAAAGTCAAACAGAATCTTGTATTAAAAACCGAAAGTAGTACAATAAATGAGTTATTATAATAAAAATATTTCTCATGATATGTCTAGTTAGAAAAATAATAGAAACATAATGACATTAAGGATAAAAAAAACTCGGTCTGATCATTCATTTGGGAAGTTATGAGTTTAATATATTCAAAGTTAAAGAATCATTAGAAAAATTCAAAGAGTTAGGTTTATGCAATATTTATAATAACTTATAATTTAATTTTTATGCCCACAATTAAACTTTTTTAAGTCTGTGAAAAAAAATTTAGAATTTTTATTTTCAGTTTCTCACAATTTTTTTTTAAATTTTGGAAAATAAGACGAGGAACTCTAGAATAGTGCTTCACAGGGCCACGCTCACTGGCTCACTGATCCATTCCCCTTGACAACTTTCTCAGCTGAAGCGCGAGGGGCAACGCCGCAACGGCTCTCAATTCGGCTCTAATCGATCAGAATCTTCTCTCTCTTCATTGAATCGCAAAGTCTCTAATCCCAGTTTCTATCTCTTCCTGTCACATAAGAATCGTCGAAATGGCGGCTATGGAGGTTGAAGCTAAAGCAGCAGAAAAAGAAGAGGAGCAGGTGGTGAGTCCATGGGAGGTTTCCGCCAAGGATGGAGGGAAGATCGACTATGACAAGCTCATCGATCGTTTTGGCTGCCAACGGCTTGAACATTCTCATATTGAGCGGGTTGAGCGCTTGACTTCTCGTCCTGCTCATGTCTTCCTCCGTCGTGGTGTTTTCTTCGCTCACCGGTATGCGTTCTGTCTGTTTGAATTTTCTCCTACATAGAAGAAATTCAATTCTAATGTAGATTTCTTATTTGGACGCAGCGATTTCCATGAAATTTTGGATGCATATGAAAGAGGAGAGAAGTTCTATTTGTATACAGGACGAGGACCATCTTCAGAAGCTTTGCATCTGGGTCATCTGATTCCGTTTATGTTTACCAAGTAAGTTGAACATGCGCTTGGCAGTTAAAAGAGAAAAAGTTCAATCATTATATGGACATATAACTCAATTTCTTCTGCAACAAAGTATGCAGCAAGAGAACAGAAGTTTGTAAATTAGCATATACTGTTCAAATTATTTTATTTAGGGAAAACCATATTGAAGGTACCTATACTTTCTCTTCATTTTTAATTTGGTACCTATGTGTTTTTTTCCCTTTAATTAAACATTTAATTTTATCTTTTTAGCAACATTAGCTCTTATAACTTTGTTCTATTGATATTTTTAGTCTCTACATAAGGATTAATGATGTTAATAGAGGAAAAATAAAGATTTAGTTAAGAACAAAAAACACATAGGTACCAAATTGAAAATTGAAAAAAAGTATAGGTACCTCCAATATGGTTTTCCCTTTTATTTAAGGAAATGAAGAATTACAAAAACCGTACTGTTTCAAAAGGATGTTAACTTAGTTTAAAATGTGTGTAGGTATTTGCAAGATGCCTTTAAGGTTCCTCTTGTTATCCAACTCACAGATGATGAGAAGTTCTTGTGGAAAAATCTCAGCATAGAGGAGAGCCAAAGACTTGCACGAGAGAATGCTAAGGATATTATTGCTTGTGGCTTTGATATTTCCAAGACATTCATTTTCTCTGATTTTGATTTTGTTGGCGGGTGAGTTTGACATGAGGGTAGCTTTGGCCTGATGATATATTTTCAAGTATGCTTTCATAAATTTAAGATGTTTTATCAAATTCTATACTATCTACGGTTTTAGGAATTTCATTGGATTAGATATGAATCTATATAGATTCTGGAATCCTGCTACCATTGAGGAACTGAATTGGACCAAAAAAATGAAAATAGAATTTACAATGCTTAAATGATGTTCAATCTTCTAGGAGCGTCTTGCCCATTAAAATGAAAATAAAAGGACTTTTCACTTTCCTCATTATTAGTAGTTATTGACATCTTAAGTCCAATTTGTTGTAGCTTGATCCTTATTAAATGTGTACAGATGAAACTCATTGGTTTAGGAAATCCATTTAGTTTATCATACAATATCTCTATATTCAACGAAGTAAAAAGAGCTTCCTCTCTGATGTTTGGTCTTCCAAAAGAGAATTATGTCATATTCAACCAGCTTATAGATTTGGCCTGTATTAATTGAGAGTTCCAAATCTAAAATTCATGGGGGATTGATCAGATTGCTTGGAGTCTTACATACAGATCATGATATTAAACTATGTGGAAGTTTATTCTGTACATTACTTCTTGAATGAATTATCACTTTCATTATAGAATAACACTGACTATGCATGCTTTTTGCTCAGAACTTCAATTTTTTATATACATTGTTTCTTTTTGACAAAAGCTTTCCTTGCCAGCGCTTTTTACAAGAACATGGTACAGGTTGCAAAGCGTGTAACTTATAATCAGGCTGTTGGCATTTTTGGTTTCACCGGTGAAGATCACATTGGAAAAGTTAGTTTTCCACCAGTGCAAGTAAGGTTCTTCTCTGCTCCACCTCTGTGACGGAAGTACCATTCTATATTTCTGTCAGCGATTTTTTTTTTTGGGGGAAAAAATTGGTTGCCGGGTGCTTGAACTTGTCCCTTTACATTTACACCCTTTCTTCCCTTGATTGTCTTTTCAAGCCTCTGAAAGGTTTCATTTAGCTGTAATTGTTGTTGTATTTCCCCCTGATCTGGTTGTTAGTATTCTTCAATTTTAAGTTTTGCACTTGCTTATTATGATGCAAAAGTTTTTCCATATCAACAAAATTCCCACCACAATCTGTTGCTTCTTGATTTGTCTGGAACGCTGAACTTATTGTGTAAAAGCACATATATGTGTTTGTGTTTGTTGAAGCAGAAAATGTGGCCAAAAGGCAATTTGCATATAATAGATTTGATCTCCTATTCTCCCATGGGGGAAAAAAAAGGGAAAAGATGCTTTCCTAGATTTGTTTTTGTTTGATCATGTTGGATACTTGGAGGTTAATGCATCATACATGAAAGTTACTATGGAAGCTTCATTTCTTCATGCAGGCTGTTCCGTCATTTCCCAGTTCATTTCCTCACCTTTTTTCTGGCAAACAGAACCTCCGTTGCTTGATCCCTTGTGCAATTGATCAGGTCTGTTTGTCATCAAGCACTTTTGTGGCAGTTTTCATGTTGATTGTGCATAGAATTGACTAATAAGACACTATATGTTAACATCTGATTAAATTTTACATTGTTTCTTGTAAATTTGGTGTAATGGGATCCATTATGTTACAGTTGTCTTCATATGAGTCAATATGAGAATGAAAAGGAAAAACTGAAAAGGGACCTGTTGCAACTTCAAAACATTCAGCTTTTATCTATGACAGTGCACCAAAGTATCAAGCTGTCATTTGAAGCCCCGTATCTGGCTTAAATTGTTTGTCAACTTACACGTAATTATGGGGTTTGCTATTTACTGAAGTTGCCACTTGTGTAGCGAAATAGTTCATTTCTTAAAGTAGCTGTTCAATTTTTTCGCTTTTGGTAGACCTCATGTTCATGACTAAGAAGTATTGGGTTTAAATTCTGAGTTTGCCTTACCCATGGTAGTTAATCATTGGATGGATGAAAACTTGTTCGTGCTAGCCTTAAGTTATTCCTAATGGTTAAAGGAACACTCAATCTCATGTTAAATCATGCATTAAATACTTGAAAGTAGTGCATACTATGTTTTACAAAATAAAGAGTCAAAATTAATGAGAATAGGAAGGGAGCAAACAAATATAATGACAACAGGTTATTTCTTTACATCCAGTGACCCCTACTAATATGATAACCACACAAGGCAGTTGTACTTTTTTACTTTCAATTTTCAAACCTGAAGACTTTTTTAACTGCTTTGGGCAGAAAGTTATATATGTTACAACTTTTGACCTTCCATTTGGACACACTTTCTTTCTCTAGGTTTTCCCGACTTGAAAGCTATGATGAATGCGCATTTCAAATTTGCTAACATTCTATAATAGTTATTCTTTATGACATCTCCAGGATCCTTATTTTAGAATGACACGTGATGTTGCTCCTCGGATGGGATATCACAAGCCTGCATTGATAGAATCATCATTCTTCCCTGCCTTGCAGGTATTATAATGTTGTTGTTAAGAAAGAATTCTTTTATTTTATGTTATTTTTTTGGATTGGACCACTAATATTTACTTATTTATAAATACGCAAGTTATTAGTTTGCATGTGTGATTCTGCCGTTCTTGTGTATAGATTTGGCTGTTGGAATGCTAACGTAACATTGCTTTGAGTTGTTGCTAATCCAATGTTTCTTGTTTGACGTTTGTGTTCCAATTTGGCTGTATGTATAGTAACCTAATTGTAACTACTACCTTTAACTTTCTATGTTATGTGTCCCAAAAAAAGTAAACAAAATCTGTGAAATGGGTTAAAAAGTACAAATTTCCAGTGAATATATGTGAGAAGTCCCATGATTAATAGCATTTATGGTTAATCAATGGGATAAGGTGTTTAAATACTTCGGAAGTATCTACGAAGGAGCACTCAACACTTGGAATTTTTTTTTTTTTTGGCTCTTAGATGCTCTTGAAGTTTTATTTTGTAGCATTTCTACCCTGAACCGTATATGCCATTAAGTTTAATTGTTAAAGACCCTAGTCAAACCACATAATTTAATAGTCAAACTTAACAGTGGATCAAGGTATTTTTGCTACGAATATAAACTTCCAGGGCATATAAAAGCTGAAAAAAACTTCCAAATAATGGATACTCCTTTGTGGATACTTCCGGGTTATTTAAGAATCTTATCCCTTAATTAATGACATGATTAGTGACACCCCCCCCCCCAAAAAAAATCTGGTTAACTTTCTGAGAAGCTATGAAATGACTCCACTGCCTTTCCCTTTAAATATTAAGCCTATAATGAATTGCATGTGGATTTCAAGAGTTTACTCCAAAATAGGTATCTGCCCATCTAGCTTTTTCTTTTCCTGCTTGCTGTTTATTATTAATAGATTGCTTTTCGCTCACTGCTTTATTTGAATTTGGATGCTTCCAGGGGGAGACGGGAAAAATGTCTGCTAGTGATCCCAATTCTGCTATATATGTGACTGATTCTGCGAAAGATATTAAAACTAAGGTTTGTTTTGAAATTGCTCTGCTAGCAGCTTACGTGTTCCCAATTGTGTCTATTATATTTTGCAGAATCTCCTGAACATATGATAAATTAGCTACATTCTCGTTTCCTAAACTGGAATTTCTCTGTCTTTTTCTTGATGGTGGTTTTTTTTTTTTTTTTTTTTTGGGGGGGGTGTTATTAGTTCCTTTACTTTGAGTTTATCTGCAAAAGACTTCAGGTTTTCTATTCACTTTTTGAAGACGTTTACTGTTATTGCACTTTGACGGTATTAAAGCCTCCTCAACCAAGAAGTCAAGAAGGCAGTGCTTGTCTCCCGTAAACTTCATAATTAATTAAATTTCAACACGTTATTTGGACCCCATGATTTGTCCATGCTTCATTCCATAGGGTTTTCATGTGATGTGGCATGGCTTGCCCTTGACTGCACAAGATTTTGGAAATTCTTATTCCTCAATCAGTATATTTGCCAAGTCATTGATTACCTATATTTTCATTTATCATTTAGTATAACTTGCTTTATTGCTCTATGTTAGTGGGTAATCTGAAGATTCAATGGGATTGCCACCTTTCTTCCCTCTCTAACGCTCTTCTCTCCTGATTCCCTGTCTGCGCATACAATTCTTATTATTTTCTCCCATGTGTCTTTTGCCAGATAAACAAATATGCATTCTCTGGTGGACAAGACTCTATTGAGAAACATAGGCAACTGGGAGCAAATCTTGAGGTAGAATTTTTTTCCATATTGCCTTTTTCCTCTAAGGAATAGTGTGCTTGTACGGGTGAATATCATTAAGTGTGGTGTGGACAAGATTACTCAAATTTAAGTTTCTTAAATTTCAGAAATACAAATGTAAAAGTTTCTGCAATTTTGGTCCCATGAATGTCTTATCCTTCACACACAATCCTATGTATGTGGTGTGAAAGTTAATTTAATAATGCCACGTTCTGCTCATTTGTCTACCAGTACCAATTTCTTTTGAGTTAGTGCCCCCTTAACTGTCCAGTCAATTCCTTTGCTTATGTTAGTTGCTTGCTACCAAGTATTTTATAGCTCAAGAATGTTGATATATTTTCACTTTTACTTTATTCAGGTTGATATACCTATAAAATACCTTACTTTCTTCTTAGAGGATGATGCTGAGCTTGAACATATGAAGAAGGTTAGATTTCTATTGTTTAATTTGAAAGTCTGTTTACCTGAAATCCTTACCAGTAGCTTGATAAGAATTAGTACGTTTCTTCTCTGATTTTCTGGCATTCCAAGGAATATGGGGCTGGACGCTTGCTAACTGGCGAGGTGAAGCAACGCCTAATTGAAGTTTTGACTGAATTGGTAGAAAGACATCGTAGAGCTCGGGCTGCTGTGACTGAAGAGGTGAGCTTTGTCTGCTCATACAATTTTTGGTCTACATGAGTAATTAAACTGGTTAACTACACAACTGATTGACATTGGTGGATGATTTGTGAAATCTTGGTTTTCGGATTCTCTGAGAATGGAAATAAGAATGTAATACTACCTCACCTGCATTACGTCCGATATTAACAGAACATCTACCTTCAGCTCGATAGACGGTGCAGAATTTTACTATAGGGCTTATGAAGGTTTTGAGAAGAAAATCCTGTTTTCCCAGTACATTCCTGATTAAGAAAATAATAGAGGTTCCACTGGGGTAAAGAAAAGATAATAAGGCCCCCACTACCCCTTTTCTTTTTGTCATCTTGTTGTCCCAAATTTCGTATGATTAGTCTATCTAGACTATCAGAGGGAAAATTGAGACTTTTAGATAAACTGTGCTTCTATGTAAACACCCCCCCGGGGGGGGGTCTGCATGTCTTAAACAGAATGACTGTTTTGACTAATAAATACTTAAAGATTCTTGAAATTACATTTTTAAAAGAAGAACAAGAAATGAAATAACAAGTGGATTGATTATTTGACATCTACTTTAGTGCATGCTGTGCTACTCGTTTCATTTATTGCTGATCTTTTAAAGGGTTCCGTCGGGGTATAGTAATTATTTAATTAATACAGGGTGGCAACTTTTTCATCTTATGAACCAATTCAGTATGTCTAGCATGTTTTATTTTGTTTGTATTCTATATAGTTCACACAGTTGTAAGTTTGAGCCAATCTAATACATTAAGCACTGTACATTCATGACCGAAGTTTAAATATGATTGGTTGCTTACCTCATCTTTACAAGAGTTGGATTTATAAAATGCAAAATTTAAAGCCACAATTTTCATTTTTTCCCTTCAGATGGTGGATGCATTCATGGCAGTAAGACCGCTTCCCCACATGTTTGACTGAAGTTCTCGTCTCATCAATTATTTTCCATCCAAGAATTGTTTGAAGATCGATGGCTGAGTAGATTTTACAGGTTTCTGCATTCGAAAATTGACTCTAAGACATGCTCTTTATTTTGTTGTCTTATAGAGAAGATTTGTAATTTGTAATTTCAGGAAAAAATGTTTCTTGTTTCAGATTGGTTATAGGCTATTTTGAATACGGAAGAAATGCAAAAGCATGTTGCAATGGATATTCATTTGGGACAATGGCACAGCTGAAAAGTGGAAACATTATTTCCACTGAATATGTATTGACAATTGGTACGGAGGATTACTTTTCTAGTCACTAGAAGCTAACTACTTGCCATTGGCCCAGTGGGCATGGTAGCTCCCCCCATAAGTGGGAGATTGTACATCGAATTTTACTTGTAACCATGCTGTTAATGATTGCCCTTTTAATTTAAACAAAAAAAAAAAAAGGGAAGAGGAAGCTAATTATTTTTCTATTCCCTAGAAGCTGGGCGCTCGTTTGGTTCATTGAATTAGAGGGAACAAAATATAATATAATGCTGATTATAATGACTTTTAATAACCATAAAATGAACATACTTAAATACTGTCCTTGCAATTTTTTCCCCTATTCCTTCGCTTTAATCACCTTTTCCCTTGCCATAATCAATGTCAAGAGTCATAAGCCAAAGCAAAATCAGAAATTGAAGCCAACATGGGAAATGGAAATAAAAATTTGCCAAGAACAAAAAAAATAGAATCACCACTACATATTAGTTTGTAACACGTTAAATTTGTATCGCTCTTACTATTTATCCCTCTAAATTAAAAACCAAGAAACAAAAGACACTTGTCATGTTGAAATAGTTTTTTTTTTTTGGTATGTAACACCATTCTTTCGTAATGATCATAATGATGTAAGGTTGTGTAATTATGACGAAGACAAATTCAAAAGACATCTATCATGGTAGAAAAATTTGAAACCTGATTGATAAAAATTAATCATGATAGAAAAGATAAAACTAGAGTGACAAAAGTCTACCATGGTTAAAAACTGTATACTTATTAATAAGCGAAAATAAAACTATTTTAAGACTAAGATTGAAGTGTAAATAGAATTTAAATATTAAATTAGCAGAGTTATCATGTAAATCGAGTATATTCTTTTTTTTTAAAAAAAAAGAACACAAAAGAAATATCTTAGAGCCATGGCAAAGTTAAATATAAATGAAGGAAACATGTACCACACATGAGGAATACAACAGAGCCTTCAAGCTCACTCCTCAGGTGCCTTCCCTCATTTTGAACCTTTTCCTAAAAATGTTAAATTAAAAGGGTGAGCACAAACGTCTCAGTAACCAGAGTTCAACCATGTAGATACACCCGTTACCCAACCACTTTCATATTAGCTAGGCAAACAGATATTGCAACAGTTTAAATAATTGTTAGCAAAATATGTAACTAATTTAATAATATATCATGTTCATATGTAATGGATGCTTCCTTCCTTGTTGCTCCATCCAACCTTATTCCGCTGACTGGAACCATAGGCTTATACATGGTCTGGCCTACACACTAGACTGACCAAAGCTACTCCAGTACTTAGGATATATTTGGCCAAAGATACAAAACCCAAACCTAGACTATGGCTCCCTTTCTTAAAAGAACCAGGAGGTGTCATTGTCCCATGTTCCCCCTTTACAAACCTGGCCAAGTAAGTATTAAGGAACAGGGCTCTAAAAAGGCCAATCACTTTGTGCTAAGTGGAGACAAACCACGTGGTCATAGTTTGTCACGTATATCAGTATCATAAACTCCCAAGTCCAACTGCCTATGCATGTTATGAATATGTAGCAAATGCTATATATGCAAGCATGCTTGAAAGAAAACAATTTACCATAAATTTTCACAAAACAACCAAAACACATTCATGCTTGCAAGAGAATTCAAATAACACATAAGATAATATTATTATATCCTTTCACTTTTTTAGTTTTATTTATTTATTTGTACCAATTAAGTGGATAGAGTCAATACAAATTTAATCATAATAGATAAAGATTGCACACACATGAAAAAACCCCAAGTTACCTGGTTTCTTCTAGCTCTCCAACAATCACAATAATAATTCCAATCAAGAAGGCTCTCGAAGAGAATCTAAAAGTCAACATAATGAAATATTAATTTACAATTTTAGACAAAAAAATTATATCCTATACTTATTTTAATGTTATATGAAGGTTACTCTAAAACTTCAAAGTTATCCTAGAACCCACAACAAATATTACTAATTTCTTCTAATTAACTTTTCATAAGTACTATTAAAATTTTACATTTCATAATAACTTATATGAAATTCTTACTGTATTTCAAGTTCAAGAATATATATATATATATATATAGCCTTCAACCCACTAACGATTCGTAAATTACTCGATATATATATTCCCAAATGTATTATAAATATATAGTAGGGGTGTTCATGGGCTGGGCAGGGCTGGACAGGACATGCCCCCTGCTCGATGCCCGGCCTGAAAAATAAACGCAGCCCGCTGCCCTGCCCTACCCACAGAAGCCCTAACCATTTTCAGACTGGGCAATAACGGGCTTAGTAGGGCGGGCTTCCAAGCCCAAATAGTGATACCTTGGTGAAATTTTTTTTAGTTAAAGTAAGGATATCTTATAACAACTATAAAGAAATAAATACTTGAATAAACAATAAATTCAACAAATTAATAACTTTGATTTGTCTTAAATTGATATATCTTTTAATACAACACTAAAGCGAGCTTGCTTTTGCATCTTTGCAAGACAACCAACAATGAAAACAAACTAAAAGATACTAAACCATATTAGAAAAACATTAAAAAGATACTAAGAAAGAAGTATTACACATACCACTAAATGTATCTATGGCAAATGGAAGAGGAGAGAATAATATATAATATTATATATATTATATATCATTATAAGTATTTCTGGCAAAAAAAAAAGAATTATAAATATATATATCACGGGCAGGGCAGCATACTTTGCCTACAGCCTAGCCCTGCCCATAATATGCCCAATCCAAAAATGCCCATTTTTCTTTGGGCTGTTTTTTTTTTCAGGCTGGGCAGGGCCGGGCCATTTTCTCGCGAGCTCGGCGGGCATACCGAGCTAGCGGGCTTGATGAACACCCCTAATATATACATGCCTATATATAAAGGGCAGAGTACCGAACGTCTTTTATATTTATACACACAAGTCTTACATATACATACGTGCCTATATATATGCACACACCTATTATTAGAAGGGAGAAGTGCCGAAAAGGCTGATGATATAAAGGGTGTATATATATATATTCATATTTCCATCAAGCATATATATATATATATATATATAAATATATACACATAGTCATACGAAGAGGCATAAAAATCTGAAAAGAAAACGGATGATACAAGGAAGAGGATGAGGGAGGGGGGGAAAATCAATGAAGAAAGAAACATTAAGTTTTAAAACGGTAGTCAATGGTGTCAAACCATTCTTATCCTTTTTCCTATTAATGTATATGAGTGTATATTCATGAACAATAGTTGTTAAATGTGAGAAAGGAGAGAGAGACGAAAAAGGAAAAGAAAAATAGGTACACACCTTAATAAATATATGTAGGCTTGGAGATGATGATGACAAGAAGGCTTATGATGGACTAAGGGGAAACACGAAAGGAATAAGGTAAAGAGGAATTATGAGAAAGGAAATAAAAAAATAGAAAAGAAACAATAATAGAAAAGTTTATCTTGAATCTATTTTGATTTATGAGGATGGAATGTTTAGAGTAGAAGAAGGAGTAATGCTTTCTGAAAAATCACAAGTCTACAGTAGTGAAAAAGCTAAAGAAGGAATTAAGTGGCTGCTAGGGGTGGAAATAGGTTTAAGGGTGGAAACAAGCCAAGCTTGCTCTTAATAGGCCAGGCCTGTTTTAGAGCCTATTGGCCTGAGCCTGGCTTGTGGCTTGTTACATGCTTATTTTTCAGCCTGAGCCTGGCCTATATAAAGGCCTAGCCTGGCCTGAAGCCTGTTAAAAGACCTATATTTTTAAAAAAATCAAATTATAATTATTATTTTTTTAAAAAAGCTAAGATTAAAAAAACATACATAATAATTAAATTTCTAGTCTTGTCTTTTATTTAAATTTTAGTATCATAAGTACTATTTTAAATCTTAATTATAATTTATAAGAATATTATTGAAAACTAATTGTAATTATATGTTAAAATTTAGAATAAGACTACGTTTAAGTACACACACAAAATTAAAATTAAGACAAATAAATAAAGAGGAAAAAATACTAATTTTATAATGAATAAAGAGGGTATCATACTTAAATTAACATAATATATAAGTTAGTTAATTTATCATTCCTGGAACAAAATTTTTCTTTCCTATTTTCTTTATATTTTTAAGATTTAAAAATCATATTATTTATTGATATTATTATTTTAAATTACATTTTTATCTTCACTTGTCATGTAAACTTCAAAATCTAAGAAAAGATTAAGCTATTAACTATATATTAAAATTAAAAAATAAATTAAAAGAGCACATTAACAATAATAACATTAATTAATTTTTTCATATATTATAATTATAAATTCCTAACAGGCCTAGGCTGGCCTAACAGGCTTAACAGACTTTTTAAAAAGCTTAAGCCTGGCCTGTTTAACTAAACAGGCCTGAACCTGTCTTTTTTGGGAAACAGGTCAGGTCAGGCCAGGCCAAATGTAGGCCAAGCCATAGGCCCTTGACAAGCTGCCTGCATCAGAGATCTAAAGCCTGAGCCTGAGCTTGCATGTAGGTTTTTTTTTAAGCTTGAGCCTGAGCCTTCAAAAGGCCTGATAAGACCTGAAAGCCTTTTTAAAAGCCTACTTAAAATTTAAGTATTTAAATAGGCTTAAAAGTACATGCTTCCAAATTCATGTATAACTCTTCAAACTTATTTTAAAGCTTACGTTATGTCTTAAAAGCTTAGAATCTATTCTCACATACAATATAAGATAATAAGAATCTAGTAAGGAAAAATAATGCTTAGTGACAACAATTGTTCCAACAAATATGAATAAGAAAAACCAATTATATGTTGACTAAGGAGATTCTAAAACCAATCAAACCCAAGAAGTGGCAGGTAATTAAAACTAGATTTTACTTACTTGCTTTTCTAGTAGTATTATAATATTTCATTTGGGCATCACTAAAACAAACTTATTACAATTATTATCCTTTAGTGAACAACGCAAGTCAGGGGAGAGGGAGTGAGTTAAGGTAGTCATCTTGAGTGATCAAAGAAAAGAAATGTAGAGATGAAAGATCTAACACCTCACATAATTATATCAATATACGCAACAAAATATTTAATTTAAAAGTCCATACATATTTCT